ACGCATTTTGAGGGTGACTTTGCTTGGTTAATCCGCATTGGGTAGGGGAAGGAGGGCACTGCCTAATGTTATTGAATATGGTTTTGCCTGGTTATTCCTCATTCCTCATTGTGGGACCACACTATTAGTTGTATGCATATGGTTCTACTTGTTTAATTCGCATTGGGGGACCATACGCATTCTAGGGGTGGTTCTGTTGAGTTGGTCCAAAACCCTAATTGGATGGATGTTGAGTTGCTCTAGAGTCCTACTCACTTCATAGTTCTGTTGAGTTAGTTTGAACCCTATATTCCTCTAGATTTCTTTGAATTGGTCCGAAATCCCATTATTGATTCAATTACGTTAAGTTGGTTTAAAACCCTATATTCTTAGGATTTCATTGAGTTGATTTGGAATCCTACTTTACTATGGTTTCTTTGAGTAGTCTAGAATCTAAAGATTCATTCATATTGAGTTCCATTGAGTTATTTTGGAACTCTATGTTTCCCTGCTAGATAAGGCCATACAAAATTTTGGAGTCATTGCAAATATAAGATGTTTATGGGGCTTAATGAAAAGGTGAACTACGAATAGTTCGATCATGTCTTAGGGTATAATACCTTGAAAATTTTAAAATATATGATTATGTAGTAATTTTTTATCGGAAAGTGAAATGATGAAAATGTCCCTCGTTGATTAAACATAATTTTACGAGGACGTATTTTATTCTCGTATAATTTATTGTATTTCTTAGCATACTTGGATAGAGCTCGATCTCATGAATGCTTAGATGCAAACCGTTCGTGAAATGGAATTATAATGAAGAAGTTATAAACGAGCAAAGTTAGGGGTGAAATGTTCATTTGACCATAATCTGGATTTCTCCAGAAAATTATGAGGTGCCACGTGTGTGGTAGTGGCTGGGAGAGAAATGGGCACTGCCCAATCAAAAAAGAGAAAAAAAGAAAAAAAAAAAAGAGAAAGGGAAACCCATCATTTCCGTCGCCATGCAGACATGCACCAACCCTGACGGTTTCTGCCATTCTTTCCATCAATTCATCACCATCCATCACCTACAACCCCTTCCTCAACCTTCTCTCTTCCATTTTCACCCAAAATTCGAAGGAATTTGGGGGTACTTTGGTGATAAACCGAGGGTGGGTGTTCCAAAGCCTCGGCGGCAATCCGCCCATTTTGGAAGGGATTTCCGTCAACCATCACCACCCTCAGGTGTCTATGGACTCCAAGAACATAGCCCAATCAACATTGGGGGCGGTTGAGCGACGGAATGGATGAATCGAAGTGCATTATTTTAGGGTTTTCCAGCAATTCTTGGTGATTTCAGGCCACTTTCCAGCAAAACTAGGCTTCAGCTCAGGTATGAAAATTTCTCCTCTCACTAAGATCTACTTATGTGTAAAATTTGAGAATTTTTGGAAATAGGGGCGGCCGACCGCCACCCACAACGATGCGTGACCAGAGGGCCGTCAATGCTATTTTAGGCTAAATTAGATGTCCTGAATTCAGTTTTGATATTCGTATGATGTAGGCTGATCGTTTGAACCTAAATTCACTATGATACGTTGCTTGGTCAATATATGAATCGATAATCTGACCGTTGGATTGTCAGCAAACTTTGAGGCATTATAATACGTAATATTTGAGGACCTTAGGAACTTAGGGATGGGGAATCCGAAGTATGGATCTTCCCAAATTGGATTAGTAAATTCGTAAAATAAAACGTCGATGCCACTTGATTTCGTGATTGGCGGAGATCAGACCGTAGGATCATAATGAAATTTTAGTATGTGTTTCTAGAAGCGTAATGTGAACTACGAAGGACTTGATCCCTTAGTTTATGATACGTAGGCAGCCTACTCAGGATGTTAGATGCAGCCATAAGTAAAACAAAATGATTATTATTTTTAGTGTGGTTAGTTAGAAATATAATTAACCATTATTTTTTTTTGTGGCCTACCCGTGTGTTTGGCTTCCGAATTAGAAATTTCGGGATGTTACATAGGGTAAGTAGGCAGTTTAACCTAAAGGTTAGATGCAGCCATGAAATAAAAGGAATTTATTAGTATTGCGTAATTCAATTCATAAATTTAGTCAAGTCTCGAGATTAATTTTTCGGAGTGTGATAAGCATTTGTTGTATCGCTGCCGTTATTATCCTACTATCACATGTCTATCTGGACGTATATTGGGAATGGAGCGTGACATTTAGTAAGGTCTACACCATTCTAGTAGAACATTGAGGTCTGCCTACCATGATATGCAACCTTATTGTTAGGTTGCATACGAGGAGTCTCTCCTATATATAATGAAGTCATCCAATGAGATTGGTATTCGCTGCTTGCTATTCAAAACTCTCTCAAGTTCAGTTTCTCTCAGACTATTCTAACTTAGACATCAAAGACCCTTTGGTAGATACCTTCCCTATTTTTTTTGGGTATTCGTTATTTAGTCTAACGGTGTTAACTGTTTTGTAAGTGTGATTTGGTAAATCTATCCTTTGCAAAAATTTGCATCCACAGTTAAGGCCTTCCTTTTCAACCCACTGCATCCTGGATTCAAACCCTTTCGCCTTCCCCTTAGTGTTAATTAGTGTAGAATATCGTTTGCAATGAAAAAACACTACTTATTTTCTTTTTTTTATTCACCCGAGCGTCATTCACTAAATCTAAATTTAAGATTTCTTTCAACAAGGTGAAGATTGAAAATGACTAGTAAAGGACTCTATGTCAGTCATATCACTACTCTTTTTCACTCAAGTTATGATGTGTCTACAAGTATAATAGGGGATTGACAACAACGCAAATTGGTTATTAGAATCTAAGAAAAACAAGAGTATTTGTCATGGTTTTAATTACTGGCTTTATTACCTACCAAAACAATCACACGTAGCTTCAAACATATCCTGTGCTCCTGAAAAAAGAAAAAAAAAAAGCGCTTATATACATTCACCAACTAGAGTAAACAAAATTGTAAAAAAAAAAAAAAGACTGAAAAGAATGAGAGTTTTGAGAACAACGTAAATCATTTCTAGTTTGAAAGGATTCAGAGCGATGAGCAGAGCGTAAATCGTATCAAGACGTGAAGGCAAAAGGACGAAATTGATTCAAATTTAGGTAATCTATATCTTTTCCTCTTCATGTGTGTAGGTGTGTATCAAGAGTAAAAAAACATAGATATGGAAGATCGATTGTGAACTCGATTTGCATGTCCTCCATGACTCGTTTCTTGTTAACTTTCACATCCAAGTTTTGCATTGTTTTATTTTGGCTGCAAGGCCATCAAAATATGATTTCCCCCTTAAAAAAAAGAATTACAAAGATTTCTGGAAAAAAATAAAAAAGAAGAGTAAATTCAATTACCTTTTTTTCTAAAGAAAAAAGAAAACATCGAATTTCGTTGATACAATTGATGTGCTACATATTACACTATTTTCCCTCACAAATTCTTCAAAATTCCTTAGAAAACTCGAGATCAGGCTATAGGCTCCCCATTGTTGAAGTTCAGTTAGATGATAATCACATCGGATTATTTGATCCATTGTTCCTATCACAAAACTTATTTTTCGTTTGCTGTATTTTAATAAATTCCTTATATATATTGATGTAATTCATTCCTTTAGAACAAAAGGGTTATGAATTTTAAGTATAATTAGCCAACACACAAAAATGTTTCTTTGTTCATGGTTAGTGAGGTGAATTAAGTCGAGAGGATTATCTCAGCCTTGAACCAGAGGCCAACAGATATGAGTCAGTGGGCTGCCACTTGGGCACACATTTGTCTGCATGTAACCAAAACGCTTGCATGATTCACATTTGCAGTCCATAACCGTCCCACTTTTGCATCCTAATCAATTTGTCTCTTTTTTCCTTTTCTTTTCCAAATGAGGTAAAAAAAATTTTTTTGTTCAAATAGATAATTTGTGTATATTGGCTAAAGTCCAATTTTACCCTCTTTACTCTCTATTTTAATCTTGCTGTACTTTTCATGCTTTCAACATTTTTTTTTTGCTTATTATTTAATTGACTTATTGGCATGAAATATTAAAGTTCAGTTTTTTGTTTGTTTGTTTTGCTAATGAGTTAGAAGTTGAGTAATGTGTTCTGTCATACTTTGTCATGTTACATTGTTGAAACTAACAATAAGTGTTGTATAAGTGGCAGAAACATACAATGAAATGCGTAACTTCTATTATTTAGTTGATCACATAAGATGCTAAATTGTCTGATAATAAAAAAGAATTTTCATTAAACTGTCTAGAGCTACACAAGTCATTCAAATCTCTGATAGCTACTCTACCACAATGTAATCATATCCAATACACAATTCATGTTGTGAAACACTTCTTATAAGTTTTTATTAAAATATAAAAGGAAACTATCTTCTATCACAGATAGTGATTTCCACACTTTCTTTTCTCTCTTAGTATTTATCGTTTTTCTTCTAAAAATTAGATTAAATAAATCAAAAGAGAATTAAGTGCATAATGAAAAAACTAGAGTGTGAAAATCAATACCTATATCAGTAGTGCCACTATTCTCAATCCCAACAAATTTTACAGAAATGCTACTACTCCTATCACTTTCCTTTAATTTCTTCAATACTTGAACAATTTTTTCATGGAATTAACAAAAGGATTTGGTTGAAGAATAGTTTCCCGGTACTGCAGGTAGGATAATATTGTTGTCTCTTTGCTGTGGATTAATTAGAGATTGAACAATATACATTAGGTATTCTTTTGGGTGGATACATCTTTGTTGGTGATACAATGAACCAAGTTTACTCCTCAAACACACAAACTAAACACACACAAATTAATATATAGGTTTTGAACAAATTAATATATAGGTTTGTTGGGGGAAAAGAAAATCCTGCATTTTTATGCTCGCTATTTTCATGAAGATCATGCATCTTTGTTTTCGATGTTCCACTTCCTTAGTCATTAGTGGACTGGAATTGCATGAAGCAATTAAAGGAAAAACAAAGACACAAAAAAGTTAAGATAATGAATGGAAAAAGAAACCTATAAATTTAAATCAGAGAGACTTAAGTTAAGTCACATATTAAGACATAATTATAATTTTGTATTGAGCTCACTATTTACAAAACTAATACTGAATTTGAATTATATGTAAAGACAAATACCATCGCATAGTAGTGTGACATCCTGCATTCGTGAGAATTCCTGGGATCCATGAATCGTGTCCATTTATTGTATATTGTACAGTAAAAAATTATTTTAAATCTTTTTATTTAAAATTAAACACAAACACTACTTGACAAAAATTGACACAAACAATACGATGAATGGACACGATCCTTGGATCCCCAAAATCCTCTCTAAAAAAAATCGGAGAGGATCCTGTTGGCAAGGGAACACTTAATAGTGAAAATTGGACAACTGATGGGAAAAAATCCTATTTGGTTTTTGGTTCCGTTTGTAGAAAAAATAGGAAGTTTAGAAACAAAATAGAACTTTTGGGCGCAGTTTAAGCCCATAAACACCACCAGCGTATCTTACCATGGAGCCTTAGGATTTATTGCGCATATTTGTGTCTGTTTCATCAAACTCACGCATAGTTTTAGTTTTTCATGCGTGCGTTTGTGTTTATGTATTTTTGTTTTATGATTTTTGGGAGGAGGTGAGATTATAGCTATTGTGCCTCGAACAGATCATCAATCCAACCCCAATCCCATTGTCCAAATCGAACAAGAACCCTCTTCGAATACTCCAAAATCTCTATCCACTCTGGTTTTTTTTTTTCTTTTCCTTCTGTTTTTTTCTCGCCGACCGAACACGCCCCAATAGCTATCATCATTCATCACCACATAGAATCAGGAAACCCCGTACTGGGTTTTGTTTGCGTTCTCGATTTCTAGGTGATTCGATTCCTGTCTCTTGATTTTCTGGTCGAGAATATTGAAGGTGACATGCACCAGGTGTACGTGAGTTACAGAATAATTAAAGAAGGAGAATAGCACTGGTTGTGTTCGTTGACGATGAGTGGTCAGGTGGTCAAGAGAAAGAGAAAGAAGATCGAAGATTGCATGAGATGTCCACTCTGCAACATGCACTTCTGCGAGGCCACTACCATATGTGAATGCCTTCATACATGTCAGTTCCCTTTCTCTCCCCTTCATGTTTCATCCAATATTATGTTTTTTATCTGATTTCATGTGTTTTCTTGACGCTCTCCCATTCTTTGATATAGGTTGTTTATTATCATGTTTTCATGATCTGGGTCTTTTTTCAATTTTGCATTTTGATTGTCCAAGTTTTTGTATAAAAACATAAGAACAAAACTGCACACATGGAGGAGTTTATGTAAATTTTGGAGTGTCAGTAACAGTTCGCTTTAGGAATATGTCGAACTACTAATAATTGTTGGTATTTCCTTACATATGTGTGTAATGAACGACTTGGACTTTACCATAAATTAATTTAATTTCTGATTTAGTTTGTTTTTCGTATTTTTCAACTACATATTGTTGCGAGCTTCCATCATGGTGGTCTATAAATTTATTGTAGTGTTAATATCTAGGTCAAGTTTCACTCTGCACTGGACAGGACAACCTACTAGCAAAGAGTTCTGGTTAATTTCCCAAATTTACTTGCAATAATACATACAAAGAATCACAATTTATATTTTCCCTCACATCTTAGACTTCTGCTGTTTCCTAAAGAACATGGTGTGGGCTAATTACATGTAGCATGCAAGAATCCACATATTGTGTTCGCCCATAAGATCTTTCATTGCTCATTCGTCCCATACCGTTTGGGTTTTGTCTAAATTTATCTGAATTATATGGAGTGAGCTGCATTATGTGTTTTATTTTACACGAGTCTCTCATTTAATCATCTGAGCTGCATATTAATTTTTCTTCTATCAATCTGACTCCTCTCTTTTTGTTTCAAGAACAGTTTGCAAGAAGTGCATATACTCAAAGATAGTAGATGAAGAGTTGGATTGCTGTCCACAATGCAATACTCATTTAGGGGTTGCCCCATTGGAAAAACTCAGGTATTTGAATTTGATCATCAATAATAGTCCTATGTTTATAAATGTTTAAATATCGGTTACAAATTCATGTTCTAACTTTATATCATGCTAGAAGAATAGTTACACTGTAAACTGGATTATTAGTAGCAAACTTCCTAAGCACAAAAACAAAAGAAATTTGATGCACAAACTGCTCAATTAGTAGTATAGGCCCTGGACACCACATAAATTCAAAAGCCTAGTTTAACTAATCAAATTTCAAGTGTAGAACCATTTGTTCAGACCAACTGCTGTTTTCGGAAGGATAACTATGTGTCCTCAAAAAACAGTTGCAAAGCATAGTTTTTGTTTTTTTTTTTTTCACTTCTGCTTTTTGTTACATTCAACGCGTGGTTACCTTTTTTTTAATTTCTTGATGACCACACATACAGAGGCAAGCAGGCTCACATTTGATGAAGAATTCATAGATCGCTGATATGGAAAGGATTATTGAGATCTGTGTTGGTTTATGCTTATCTTTTTTCTTTCCTTGTCTGCAGGCCAGACCGCATGTGGGATAATATAGTGGGCAATATCTTCCCTTCTTACAGAGAAAAGGTCAACGTACCTGAAGACAACAATGCGCAAGATACAACATCAAAGCCCCTTCCTTCCGAAAGAAAAATGGTTAAGGAACCTGCAGACTGCAATGCGCAGGATATGACTGCAGAGCTTCTTCCTTATGAAAGGAGAAAGATTAGGGCACCTGCAGACTTCGATGTGCAAGATATAACAGCAGAGCTGCTTCCTTCTGAAAGTAGAAAGTCGAAGACACCTGCAGACGACAATGTGCAAGATGTAGAGGCAGATCCCCTTCTGTCCGGAAGGAAAAAGGTTAAGGAACCTGCTGTGACCTCAACTAAGGAGATATATCTCTCTTCATTGTTGAGAAATTCACCTCCAGGATCCGGTGGGTCTGAGATGAGTGGACAAAGAAGGTATCCTGCACGAAGGAGATTTCCTCTACAAGAGTCACTTTCGATTCAGGAGCCTGAAAAGAACGAGGATGTTTTCCATGAGAGACTTAAGTCACCTCAGACACTAAAAACGGTTTCACTATTTACCAAACAGGTAAAAGAGGGGAAAAAATAATCGGTTCAACGCTTTTACTTGTCCATTTTTATCCTCTCAAACATTTTGGAATATGTTGATGCAGAACTCTGCTAAGGGAACATTGAAGCAGCACATGCTTAACAAGGGTGTGGTGGACAATTCTCAATCAAAGGACGTGAAACCTGAAATTTTGAAACCATTAAACCGACTGGTTGAAGCTGCAAGCAAGACAAGTCCTGATAAGATTAATCTGCAACTGCAACTTCCTATTTCCGAACCAATGTTGCCTGATGCGCTCAACAACGAAGCACGTGAGGTTAAGCCCGTTATAGAATATGGAAACAAATCCAAAGTCGGTGGCAGTGTGAATCAATCTAATCCTGCGCCATCAGGTTTGGTGAGTTTTAGGAAACCACAACGCGGACGAAAAAGAAAACCAGCTGTACCTGACGGACTCAACATTCCAGCACAATCTGTGGTTGATGCAAATGATAAGTGTGACCGAATATTACGTCCAATTTGGTTCTCATTGTTTGCTTCCGAGCACCAGTGAGATTTTGTTCCCATTGCTTTAATCAAGAACTGATTTGATTCTTTTTTTCCTTTTTCATATATTGGGTTTAACAATTTTGAAATTGATTATTGCAGGGAAGGCTTTCCACCCTTGCCGCAGTTACCTTCATGTTACTTGAGAGTCAAGTAATTTTGATTAACCTTATGCCCTTCTATTTTCTTGCATTTACTGTTTGCCGATCCCTGCACCACAAATTTTTCAGTCTCGATGTAAAGTTCATGGCAATAGATCATATCTTACAAGCAAGAAGCAACTAGATTTTTCACTCTTCTTTCATGATACATATGCTCAACTCAATCTGTATCATTTTCCAGATGTCCAAAAAGAAATATTATTTCCATTTTCGATAGTTAGTACAAAACTGTGCCGCTTTTCCATGGACCGGCGTTATGAAAATTTTGCGACTTGTTTGATGAATGCATGCGCCATTATTCGTTCTCATGCCCCCTTTTCTTGGAGAACACTTGTGTACTTTACATGGCAGGAGCATCCAAAATTAATTCTGTGGGACAGAACTGACTGTTGGATGAAAATGCTCTCTTGCAATTTTCTGGCTATGTTTAGCGTAATTTATTCGTTTAATTTCTTGTAAGCGCAGATATTAACTTCAATTTTGTTTTTCGAAATTCCGTAGGGATGGTAGCTTTCCCGCTTCGTTCTTAAAAAAGTACCTGGTGAAAAAGCTGAATCTTAGAAGCGAGGATGAGGTAACATCATCTTTGTCCCTTTTCAGTTACTACTGTTTGTGCATGTATAAAACTTCAAACTTATGATGGTGAAGAAAAAGGGGACGGGAAGCGTTTTTTCATATATCGAAAATGAAGATTCCTTGTCCTGCGAAAACCAAATTCATCTGTTTTATTTCTTGAAAAGGAAATAAGTGAATCAGAGATTACTCCTTTTGTTCATGAATTCATACTGTTCAATTGGGAATTTGGGTAACATGGGTGATAGTCTGCTTCAGTACATAAACTGCTGGCAAGCAGGAGAAATCGCTAAATTCGTGAATTGTTTTGTTCTGCTAATGATATTTGAAACTGATAATTTGTGGTCAGAACTAGGTATAGTTGATTTATCTGATCACTTATTTCCCATTTCACTTGTCCATTGTTGCCAACCCTAGTTTTTCTAGTAAGTTAACCGGACTTGATGATATTAGACGCTCAAAAACTTAGTCGATTTGGGTACTAAAAGCAGAACTATTTTTTGCTGCAGACAAGTAAATTTATTTTTCTAATCAGACCTTTAAATTCATGAAGTATGCCTATATTTGATACTGTATTTCCCTTCATGCCTAATGCAGGTGGAGGTCACATTGCACGGAAAGCCAATACTTCCTACATTGGAGCTGCATAACTTAGTCGACTTGTGGTTACAGACAACAGCATCTGCATCTCAGAGGATACAGGCGACCGTAGGAAGCTCTGCAGAGGAATACGTGCTGCCCCTCACATACAGTCGAAAAAAGCTGCTCCGTTAGACTAGCTTTAGCTATTCCTGTAGTCGTGGCCCTGTAAAGGTGATCAGTCCAGGCAGCCGCAGTCTGGGATGCCTTCACTGTGTTGTTCTCCGTACGCAAATTTCATTTGTTCGTTCTTTTCATCCCTGCTTGCACATGCTTTGCTTGCAGTGTGGTGTTCTCGGTACTTCTTACCCTAAGCAGGTTTTCGAGTTTTACTTGAACAGGACGTGTTCTTTAGGATCGTAACTCTATATCCTTGGTTTCTAAGTTTTTATAGAATTTTCTCATTGAAAAACAACAGATTTTCAAAACAGATTAAGCTGGTTTAAATTATAACTCTTGGAGAATGCAATTGGCAGACGTTTTGGAACGAAAGTTAGATTCACCAATCGAGAATACGATTGTGAATACTCTGTAATTGCTAAAACCGAGCCGCCCCAGCCCCCATGGACAAAAACTGACGAATAGTTTTTCTCAATTTTCACCACTAACGAAAAGGAATTAGCTTTGCATACATGATCACTCCGAAAATTGCAGTGCACAACTTGCACGGTTTTACAATGCATGAACAGATACGGTTACCCATTTGTTCCACATTTACCATGAGAAAACACTGATATATACAAGTTTCTCCGTTGAAAGCACTAAGAAGATGATTTGAATCGGGAACGAAAGCTGAACAACAAGTAAGGTGCGTGAAACAATTGGAGACTTCAGAAGCAAGGCGCATCATCTCAACTGGATCTGCAATAATTGATTGCTAGTGATTGCGGTCGAATGTGTTTCCATAGTGTGAAGTAGGTCTCAAACTCTTGCATATCCTGGAAACAAATTCGATACTAATAACTAGCAATCAAGCAGGAGCAAATGATCAATTACACATAAGAATTCATATAAACAAATGAATGTTTGGGTAAAAAGCACTCGGCTCGATTCAATCCTGATACAGAATTTTTCATAAATTATTTTCTCAAGAGAAAAATAATCATGTCACTGCCCTATGTACATGTGATATTGCCTAAAGCATTCGACATAGACAGATCAATTCTCAAGAGCAGCGGTACTGCACAAATCGGTAGCTCGGTAGCTCCTCAATACGGATGGAGAGCGACAAAACAGAATGTAGCTGTCAAAGATGGATGATGCATCATTTAGACCCAAAACCGGAATGTAATAGGTAGAACGCTTGACGGAATTACTAGTACTAAACCACGCCCGTCAATATGAACGATGCTCACAACAGAAATAAACTTGGTTTCATCTCATCTCATCTCATCTCATGTCCCTAAAATTCAATGGATTAGACTTTAACAAGCAAAACTGTCTGCGGAATGCTCCGGGTTTACAACTCTAGTTATACACAATTACAACGATGTTTACAACTCTATTACCACATATATACAACCATATATATATATATATATACAATCATATTTACACATATATACTAATCAGTATTTCTGTCAGAATTCTAGCGATTGAGGAGAGAACTAAGTGCGCACAACTAGAGGACATGAAGTTTTAGCGATTGACATTTAAGATAGTTGTATTTTAAAATAAATGATCAGATACACATATAAAACTGTCTGAAATGGGTTGCAGTTTTACCTCAGTTCCACCACAAAGAAGTTGGAATTCTCCATTGTCACCACCACTTCTCTCCCTGCTTTCCTTTGCCCAAAAATTGGAAAAAAAAATCCAATTTTCGAGCCATTTACTCTCACTAAATAGCAAAAAAAAGTTCAGAACTTTGAGGATAAAAAAGAAGGCATCTACAACTCAAATCTGCAAACATAGAAAGAAGCAAAACTCATTTGAAAACCCACCATAAAAAACCAAACTTTATCCAAAAAAAACTCAAAAAAGTAACGGCCTATTTGGTATCTTATTCGAAAATTTTCATTTTTTCTCTAAACATTTCTTAAGAACATTTCTTGAAAACAATTTTCTTTAAGACTTAAAAACTTGTTTGGTGTGAAATTTAAAAAATTAAAATAGAAAACTTAAACTGAACAAAAAGATCCAAAAAGAAGGGTCACAAAGAGGAGAAGGGAGGAAAGAAAATAAGAAATGATCGGAGGAAAAAAAGAAGAAGAGAGAGGACCAGAGGAGATAGAGAGGAAGAGGAGAGAGAACCGAGAGAATGAAAAAATTGGAAGAGAGACAACAAAGAAAAAGAAAACTAATGAAAATGGTTTGAAAACTTTGAGTTTTAACAATAAGGACAAAATAATGGGTAAAATGAATAGTACCAACATTGACTTTTTAGTGTAAAAATGTGATTTTTTGTTAAAGTGAACAGTACTGGAAACTTTTCGTTAAAGTTCCCCAAAATAAAAGGAGAAGAGAGAGAAGAAAAGAGAAAGGTAGGTTTGGAGTGAGAGCGGAGGAAGGAAAGAAAAGAAATGAGTGAGTTTAAGTTTAAAAACTTAAATAATAGACTATATTTTTTAGTTTGTCTTGAATTTAGTTTTTGAAAACAGTCCTACCAGACAAGTTTAAGGCCTAAAACTTGAAAATTATTTTTGAGTTTAAAAAGTCGGATTCAAGTAGAGTACCAAAGAGGTCCTAAAGAACCCATTTGATTGCTCATAACTTTACACAAAATGCAACAAAGAAAAGACAAAAAAGAAAAAGTAAACCCATCAAGCTCAACCCTTTAATTTAAACTCCAAAAAAAATTGAACACAACCCAATTGAATAATTAATCTTACCGTAATATACTCTCAATTCCTCGCTGTTAACCCTTGTGTTTTCAAATTTCTCCTCTATCTCTTTGTTGTTCTGCATTATGTGCAATGTACTCCTGATTTCTCTTTGCTATCTTTGTCATTTCCGCTATCTACTTCTGATTTCGCTTTGCTTTCTCTATCATTTCTGCAATTGTCTCCTCTGTCTCATCAATGATTTGTTTTGGAAAATTCCCCACAAAAAACTCAAACCACTCACTGAGCGTCATCTTCTCCAAGTCACAACTCATATTAACATCTGCACCACACCCACTTTAGTCGCCACCCTTAACACCATTCCGCTTCCATGTTCACCATTTTCACCACTCCCACTTCCACTTCCACCTTTTTCACCCTTTCCACTTCCACAATTGCCCCTACACCGTGAGAATGGTAACCCGGATAAGCTGCGAAGTTCGTGTGAGTGACAATAATCCGACGTATGTGATAATCATAAAACATTTTCATCGATCACATTTTATAAACATCAATCATAAAATCAATCTTTATAAAATCATAAACACATTGAAAATCCCAAAGGAGTCGCACAAACATCCAATGACCTTTCTAAATAAAACCACAAAGGTTATCAAATTTTAGATACTTAAACACATTGAAAACTAGGGCTAGAGCGACACAATTTGGTCGAAGCCTACATCTTCTAAGTTTACATGTTCTAGACTCAATCCAAGGAAATCAACAAATCAACGAAGACAAAGGATGCAATTTAGGACCACTCAACGAAATCCAACAAGGCCTAGGTTCTAGACCACTCAACCGAACCGAAGGGAAACGATATTCCAGAATACTCAATGAAATCCGAACATGATATGATTCTGGACTACTTAACGGAATCGCGAAGTAGGAGGATTCTGGACCACTCAACAAAATCCATATGGAGCAGAGAACCATACCACTCAATGGAACCCCAGTGGAACTCGGTTCTGGACTACTTAACAAAACCGAGTAGAATCCAAGGAACATAATTCAAAACAGCTTAGTGAAACAAGACATGACACAAGTTTGATTTAGCAGCTCCCCATGACAATGGGTTAACAGTACTCTACTGGCCCTCATGTTTCTCAAATCATTTCACATACGAATTTCAAATCACATTTCACAAACATTTTGAATATGCAAGTCAAATCACATTTCATAAAAGTAGATCGATGGCAAAATATAAAAGCAATTTAGTAGAAAACACATTTATAAATCCATGCCATATCCACCAAGTATACTAGCATGGGGATTCTCAGGGTGATAACCATACCACATATATTAAAGTCACTCACCTGGAATCTGCGCTAATGCACTCTCAAACAATGATCAAGGTGCGCACGTATAATAGTTGACTAGAACAAATCACAAGTTTCGTCTTAGCATTCTATTGATAAAACACATAACTTTACGTAGTACATGTCCTTTAGGACATTCTAGACGGATTCAGAACGCCATGACCAAAAGTTATCAAAGGTCAACGTAGGGTCAACGACCCTACATGACTTGATCCAAAAGATCCACACATCGAAATTCTTATTTGTGACTTCCTAAGGCTCTCATTATGGTTCTAAAACAACATACTAAAATTTTGTGCCAATCTGACGGTCGGATCTTTGCCAATCGCAAGTTTTAGTGGCAGCAACCTACGAAACTAGGTTCAAACGGTGGAATTTTTCTAAACGGATGTCAAAACTGAATCAGGGTTTTGAAATTAGCTGCAAATGACATTTTAGATTCTTCGGCTCCAGGCCGGTGCCACATGTCGTCGAGGGCCAGCCACGCAACTCCATGAGTGCCACACTTCGACATTGGGAATATTCCAACGCTTAACGAAATATCCCTTCATCCCTTTCCTCAGCTCCGGTTTTTACGTTGCGGCCATCCAAACCCACCAGAATCTGAAGAAAATGGCCAGAATTCCTGGAAATTTTTTAAATCATCATATCTTCTTCAGTTTTCAACCAAAATCGACAATCTTTATATGGAAATGAAGCTAGGGAAGAGGAGAACACATTCGTACCTATTTGGGAGCCAAAAGATGGCTAGAGGTGGTCTGAATTTTGTCGGGAAAAGTTGGCCTAGTCGGATCTCGTGATTTTTCGATTTTTCCTCGATTTTTCACGAAACCAAAGCCATCACTGGCTTCGTGGGGACAAGATGAACACGATGGTGAGGTTTGTTGGTCAAGTTTCGCTAGAAAATTTTATGGTTAATGATGGTGTGACTCGACAAAGTGAGAAGGCGAGAGAGATGAGAGGAAATGAAAAAGAAATCAAAGAAAAAAAAAGAGGAAAGGGTTATAGATTTTCTGGAAGTGGGCCCCACATGGGGACACAAAACAAGCCAAGTAAAGTGTGTCCATATAAATGTAAAATTACTAAAATACCCTTGACGTTCCAAGCTTCATAGAA